AGGAAGGAAGGAAGGAAGGAAGGAAGGAAGGAAGGAAGGAAGGAAGGAAGGAAGGAAGGAAGGAAGGAAATCATACAGATATTTATCAAAGAATCAAAGAGGTTGAAGATACTAATGAGATTACTGAATCTAGCCTTCTACTCATTGTAGGAATCTTGATTAAAACCTCCCTGATTGAGGTTTGTTGAATTTTTGTTTAAACATATCAGGTAAAGTGAGCTCATCACCTCCAAGAAATAACCTTTGGGATTCATTTTCGCAAGACAAAGTGATGTTCCACCACTTAGATGGATTTAAAAGTCAACTTCATGGGACATAAAGTAATTAAGGGTTATTAATCATGGTAGCTATCAATTACCTCATGTTTTGGACACAGTAAATGATTAATAGCTGTAAATCCCAGCCAGCTAATAACGTAGCTTTTTCATATTCGGTTACTTCTCTGGCCTAAAGGCTGTAATAAAGGTTTTCATTTGATTTGATATCTGGTCACAGTACTTGGGAAAGAGAGATAGAAGGAAGAACATTAACTGAGCAAGAGACAAAAGCAAGGCATCAAACTGGTCTTTATTCACTACACTCCTTACTGCATGCCTCTGTCTGTCTGAAATTTTGTAGCTCGCTTAGAATCGTAGCATCTTCAGCTGGTGCAAAATGCAGCGGCACAGGAAATTACATGTGCCCCTAGAAGGGTTCATGTTACACCTCTGCTCCGTGAGCTGCATTGGTTGCCAGTTTGCTTCCAGTCCAATTCAAGGTGCTGGTTTTGACTTTTAAAGCCCTTCATGGCATGGGGCCGGGTTATCTGAGGGACTGCTTCTCCCTGGTTACATCTGCCCGTCCCATCAGATCTGGCAGAGAGGGCATGCTGCAAGTCCTGTCTGTTAGGGAACTACACTAGGTGGGTCTCAGGAGGCAGGCCTTCTCTGTCATGACACCCGCCTTGTGGAACCTTCTCCCCCAGAAGTGAGATTAGCCCCATCCCTCTTAACATTCTGCAAGTCCCTCAAGACTTGGCTATGTGATCAGGCCTGGGGGGTCCCAGGGGACCAGGAGATTTTGCAATGGCTTCCTTACTACTCTAACATCATCCTCTCTTGTTCCACGTGCCTTATAGTTTTTACAGTTTTAATAATGTCTGTTTTATATGTATTTATTGGCTTTCTTTTTAATGGAGTGTTGTATGCTTCCCAGAGTCACTTTTTTGTGAGATGGACTGCTATACAAATATGATAAACAAACAAAATCTTAGGGTTGGAATGGACCTTGGAAGTCTCCTAGTCCCACCCCATGTCCAGGACAGGAATCCTCATGGCAGTCTATCTTTTGCTTGAAAACCTCCAGTGATGAAGTACCTGTTACTTCAGGAAGTAAGCTATTCCATTGCTTAATGGTTGTCACAATCAGGAGATTCCTCCTTTATTTTATTTATTTATTATTAAATTTGTATGCCTTATTTCAAGTTTGGATCTCTCCCTATCAAGCTTCCACCCGTTGGCTCCTGTCGTACATTTAGGAGCTATGGAGAATAAATCCACTCTCTCTTCCCTATAATAGCCCTCCAAATTTTGGAAGGGCTATCCTGACTCCTTTTCTTTAGATTAAACAGTTCCTTTAACTGTTCATACTGTAGGTTTTAGCCTCCAAGCCCCTCACCAGCTTTGTCACTCTTCTCTGCTTTTCTAGTCGCTCTTGGAATGAGATGGGTGGTGACTAAATTTGAAATATAAATAAAAACCATCTTGATGATGTGTGCCATTTATGTAAGTTGCCTTCAAATCATAAAGACAATTCTTTTATAAATTCACCCATTACTAGACTGTCCTTGCACACACGCACGAGTATGCCTGGCATTGATTAGTTTCAGTCCCTGAGGAACAACAATGCCTAAAAATGTCATCCAATTTAAAAAAAAGACTCACTTGTTGGGGTTTTTTGTAAAATTATAAAAAGAAAGAGACCCAAACTGTGAAAGAAGAGGTCAAATATATTCCGCTTTGAAAAGGGGACAAGGCTTACCCATTACATCAACTTCTTTTAGAAAATACCTGGGTTTTTTTTCAATTTTTTAAAAAAAATATTAGTGAAATGGAACCCTCCAAAAGAATAATGCATCAGTGAGAACACAACGAAACCATACGTAACTTATAAGGATTAAACTAAACTGATAAAGAAACGAAAGGGAAAAAAGGACCCATATGATATTAATATAAAATTAATTCAATCTTTAAACTTATTAAATCTAGACTTGTGTTTCGCAACCTTGGCAACAACAATAACTGAGGGATCGGAGGTGTCCACACCACTCCCTCCACCACCCACCTTACAAACAAAGGTCAGTTTTGATA